ATGCTAATATAAACAGTCAGTAAAAATTTCATTTATCTACGGTCATTTGTTTTAGAGTTACACAAAATTTAAAATCGATTTTCTCGAAAACAGATTTTGCTTAAAAATTCCCGTTTTTCCTTAATTTTTATGTTGTTTTTAACAGCGCTAGTGAAAACTATTGCGAATTAAAAATTTGACCTTCCAAATGCACGAACTAGATTTACTTTCCCATCGAACAAGACCTAACTTGTTGAAGAAAATCGAAGCAGTTTTACTGCCCCAAACCGTGATGACAGACACAAAAAAAAATAAATAAAAAAAACACACATCATTGTAAAATCAATACATTCATCGTTCCACTAAGAATCTAAAAAAAAATAAAAAATAAAAGTCCCTCTGCTGTACAGTAGGTTACAAGTTGTGAGAGTTAGTGACTTTTTAAGGCCACCAAAACCACCCATGACGAAAGGGGAACACTTTCCTCATGACCTGTGAGCCGCACCGCGTGAGACCCGAGGGTCAAGTCGGTGGAGCTCACAGGCTTTGATACACGCAACGGCAAGCTGAATGCCGAGGATTTATGTGGGGAGAGAGAGAGAAAAAAATAAATAAGTTAATGAAAATAAATAATAAGAGCAATATTAGGGTAATCACGTGGATGTATTTTACAGGTTTTTTGATTGTAGATAATTTAAATAAGGTTTTGACATTTTTCAGTTTAACAAAAATAAAATATATAGCATGGCACATGGCAAGTAGGTATAAAATATAAAAGGGCACATGGGAAACAAAAAAAACAACGCTCGGCCCACGGGGATCGACACATCACATTACTCGTGGTGGTCTCCACAGGGTTACCGGGGCAGTTTAAATGATTTGGGGGGGAAATGAAAGGTCGAACGTCTGTAAGTGTGGTCCGGGGCCCCCTACTTAAACGCGCACAGGGACAGCTGGTTTTTTACGCCAGCTGTATGTGAACGCGTAGGAGGTTACCCGCTAGGCCCCAATGGCAACCACACCTGGACGTTCTGCAACGCACATTTCACAAGTATCGTGCTTTTAAGTGACAAAAAATAAAAAAAGAAGGGGGGAAAATTTTGTAGGTATTACTCTGACGTTGTTGAGCTTGAGATGTGTTGTTGACCGAGGAACTGGATGGGCTGGTTAATACCACCGGCACACACGCGGCCGGCATGGCCCATCTTGTCGTCGATCAAACCGCCTCGGATGGTGACGGCGGCACGGAGGTCGACTGGTTCAGCAGCTTTGCCCACCATCGGGCCCGTGAGCGGTACTTAGCCCATCATGGCGGTTGGTTCCCGTCGATTAAAAACAATAATAATAATCACACGCGGAGTGATGGTGGTCGACACGCGGTTGTGGTCGTTGTTGAAAAGTTCGGGATGCGTCACGGTACCAAAACGTCTGGTTCGTTCAGCGATCTCGGAAAATGTGTGTAAAGACGGCTGATGTTGTCTTGCCGCTGGTCGTGGCCGTTGATGTTGACGTGGTGGGGAAGGTCAGTGTCGCATTATAGGGACGTTTACAATAATAATTGGGAAAACAGACTGCTTTGTCGGTGCGTATCGACGGACGCGACAGCTGCGACCGGCGGTGACGACCGGCAACGGCAGCGGCCTGTTGGCGGGCGGACACTGCGGGTTGTGGGGGCCGGGGTCAGGTGTTATGTAACATTGTGGTCATTTATGCATTGGCGCGCGATAAATATAATAATATCATAATGTAATCATAAGAAATAATAATAATGAAAAATAATATGCTCAGGGGAACTATAATAATATTAAGTAAGGCCTAAAATTCTGTGACGTTACAAAGTGAGTAACTGTAATGGATGGTGTTAAATTTGAATTCAATGATATACCTAGTATCATTGTATAAGAAAAACGATTCTAAGCGAAAACGGTCAGTAAGCCTACGATATTACAAAGTATTTATTTTGATGATATTATTGTGAATAAGGTAATTTATATATAACCTATTAAAGTGGAACTTTGTTTTAAATTTTCAATCCTTAGCTATAAAAGTTGAACATTTAATAAATTTTTAGCTACAAATAATTATTACATTTTAAATTTGATAAATTTTGTCAAAAATCAAACTTTAAATGCTTATAAAAAAAATTTCCACTTCTATTGCAATAATATATCAGGAGCCTTCCATTACATTTTAACAATTTTTAACCGACATACAACATTTTATTGATATTTATAGAAAAAAAACTAAAAAATTTAAATCTGACAATGTCCGTAAAAAGCTCAAAAAGAGTCAAATTATTTTCAAAATTATATGGTGTATAGAAAATGCTAATATAAACATTCAGTGAAATTTTCAAGTATCTACAGTCATTCGTTTTTGAATAATTATAAAATAAAAAAATAGCTTTATGAGAAATCGAGTGAATATCCAATATCGTAAAAATATGAAATTCAAACGCTCATAAAAATTTAAATTGACTTTCTCTTAGACATTTTTTATTTGATTAAGTTAGATAATCTTATAAGAAATCTTGTATTACATTTTAAAATCTTAGATATAAATATACAATTTTTTATGAATTTCTAACTCAAAATAATTTCCAAATCTTCGTCATTTTTACGTATTTTGTCAATATTTGAACTTAAATGCTTATAAAAAAAAAACTGTATCTATGGATTTTTAATTGTTTTAATTACTTAAATATACTAGCAGCCAAAGTGGACATATCCACCTTGCTAGGAGCCTTCTATTAAACTTTCAAGCTTTTATACCAAATACAATATTATTGATATTTATAGAATAAAAACTAAAAATAATGGAAACTGAAAATGTCCGTAAAGAGCTCAAAATAAGTTAAAATATTTGGAAATTTTTATGGTGTATAAAAATGCTAGTATAAACATTCAGTCTAAATTTCATGTACCTACGGTAATTTGTTAAAGAGTTGCACCAAAAACCAAAATCGATTTTTTCGAAAACAGATTTTGAACAAAATTCACGTTTTTCCTTAATTTTGAAGGAATTTTGACTTTTGACCCTACAAAGTACCAACTATATTCAGTTTCCTATCAGAAAAGATCCTGTTGAAGAAAATCCAAGCACTTTGACTATCCTAAAAGGTGATGACAGATACAAAAAAAAAGGTGATTTGCTGTATAGTAGGTAATGTCTATAAGAAAGTCAAATTATTCATAACAATTTGATGAGCTTTTAAAATTCAAATTTCAAATTTTCTATCAGAAAAACTACTGTTGAAGAAAATCCATGCATTTTTACTGTCCTAAAACGTGATTACAGACACACAAAAAAAAAAAAAAACACACCCATCATTGTAAAATCAATACATTCATCGTTCCACTCAGAGTCTAAAAAATAATTGTAGAATATCTAGTTATAAATATTCACTCTCTGTCACAGTGACTCACATAGCTAAGTTAATATATTTAAATACAACAAATATTTAGCCTATATAATAAACTTAGTTTATATTTATTACTAATCAGTAATCAGTAATAATATTATACCTTTGAATTTTAATATACCTCGTTTATATACAATTAAGAATTATAATGTTTTTGGTGCCCCATTACCCGTATACAGTCTTATTATGGTGTCATTTCCTTTCACACGGACACCTTATAAATTTTGCTTTAAAGAGTTCTTAAATAGTGCTGATGATATTTTCGGTATTTTAGAATACTGGTACCTAAATTGTGATTCAGTAATAGTTACTGTGGTTACCGTTAATACCGTGTCACGGTATAATTACCAAAAATATCATATATTTTTAAAGATTAAAATTTATATAATCATAATAATAAAAAAACAATCTTAGGTAATTTTTAAATTAGATATAAAATTGTCATGAAAACACTTCAATACAAAACACTAACACTTCCAAATTTCCTTATTTTGTTGTAATTCAAAAACAAATAACTGTAGATACATGAAGATTTTACTGAATATTTATATTAGTATTTTCTATACAGCATACAATTTTGAAAATATTTTGACTCTTTTTGAGCTGTTTACGGACATTTACAGCTTTCAATTTTTTTTAGTTTTTTTTTCTATATATATTAATAAAGTTTTATCTGTTGGGCCAAAAAGTGTTTAGAGACATTTTAAATTCAAATTTGGACGAAATTAATTAATAAAAAACCTAGAATAACTATTTTAGTTATTTTGTTGTGATTGTATAATATTATTCGTGGGTACTTGAAAGTTGAAACTTCTAAAGTATACTACTATATATCTATGATAGTAGGGTTTATATCAGGGTTTGTTGTTGGTGTATAACGCGTTATAAGTACCAAATGGATATTGTGATATGATTAATTTGGAATTTATTATAGGTACCTATTTTAGATAAATTTTTTTTAATACAATAGATAAGTAAATAATATGTCTTATACCTAGACTGACATACTATCTCCGCTCAGAATCGTTTTTCTTATACAATGATATAATATGATTGGATTCAAATGTAATACCATCCATTCTACAGTGACCCACTTGTAACCTACTGTACAGCAGAGCGACACCCACTTGCCCACCTTTTTTTTAAACATTCATACAATATTTTAAGATCATTATCTGCATAATATTGTACACTCAACAAAGCTGTATCATTGAGAGAATATTCTGTGGATAATAATATTCATAATATAACTTTTTAGTTTTTATTAATAATACAATAACATTATATTATAAATATTGTAAATGTAATCCAGTTATAATGTTATTATAATATCAATGTTACTAAATCGCTGTGTGGGCGATAGTTGTTTTATCAATATGCAGATAATTATTTTTTGGCAAGTACTCGTGAAATTACATAATACAAAGGTAGATTTTATTATTAATTAGTTTATTTACTTGATAAATAATAATATATAAGTACTATAATATTATACTACATTATTAGTTTTGTATAAATGACAAAAATATATTGTAAATTCATTAGTATGTCAGAGAAACCTAAAATTATTTTTTAGGTAGTTGGAAGTGTGACAGACAGTCTAGACGGCGAACTGTACCATAATGATTTGGATACCGATGAAACTCCAATTGAATATGTTGATCCAGGTTGCAGCACTGTATACTAATTGAGTCTCTATACCTGAACGGGAAAAAAATAATATACTAATTGAGTCCCGGGTACAAACGAGACATATACTAATTGAGTCTGGGGTTAGGAAACTAATTGTATACGAATTAAGTCCGAGGATTATTTTGAGTAAAATATAAAATAACCATCCAGAGTCCAGACACAGCGAAAATTATGCCACACAGCCATTCATTGGCGATTACCACCAATAGTTGTGAATCATTTCATTCGAAAATTAATGCAATGTTTTATTCAACACATCCAAACATTTACCAATTTATAAACATTTTGTTGAATATACAATGCGAAACGTATATAAAAATTAGAAGTGTTCATATAATTAATTCAAGAAATTGTTTAAAATAAAAATTAAAATAAATCAGCCATCAAATGCAGCTGTTTCAATCGAACACAATAAGTAGATTTGAATATAGTACAATGCTCATCCCATAAATTCTTACCAATATAAAAATGTTATTTTATCATTATCTACATTTATTTAATTATACACAAATTATTCATATTATATTATACCCCTACATTATTATATATTTATATTATACAATATTTAAGAAAAAAAAACATTTTTAACCATACCTGTAGAATTATTTGTTACAGACAATCCTAAGTCTGTAAAAATGGGAAGGAAAATGTTTTTTTTTTTTAATTTTACGGGACTCAGTTAGTATTAAAACATGGACTAAATTAGTATTATACCTACAATTTCACTGGACTCAATTGGTATATACCCTAAAACAACCCGGGACTCAATTCGTCATAAAAGGTTATACTGGGACTCAGTTCGTATGCAGCCGTAAATACAGTAGTACCAGTGCCCATATGAAATATTAAATTGATAACCTATACCCCCCCCCCCCCCCCGGTAACCAGTAACCATAAATATTAAAATATAGTTTAAGGTTTAAGCATGACTTTAATTATTAAGTAGGTATTGAAAAAAGTGTAAACTCATATTAGATTTTTTTATACAAATAATTAATAATAAATTAGAGGAAGCAATTTATAACCAATATTGTTCATACATGTTATGAGTTTATATTTGAAACCTTCGAGTTTAATCATTCAAAAGTTGTTTTTTTCCTTTGAATCAAATGTAGGTAGGTTAAATACTCACAAACGATAAAAATGAACATGTTTATTCTTTATTCCGATTCCGTTGCAGTTTAGGATAAAGATGTATACTGAGTACTGAGTACAATGTCTGTGGTTACAACTAATGAACTACACAATTTTTAATATTTTTTTAACGCCTTGAATAATAATATTATAATAATATATAACCAACAGCAATTATATTTTTAATTTAATCAACATAAAAAAATTAAAGAAATATGCAAATATTACCAGATATGTGACAGTCATTAAACCAGTGTAAAACTCTAAAGCTAGGTAGGTATATTCTTTAAGAATAATATTATGGGTTTATTTGATTAAGCAAAACACATTATGTCATTCATAAATAATATGTTTGTTTACCATTAAATATTTATTTCAGTCCACGCATTTCATTAATTTTACCTAATTTTTAATGTTTTAACAATTAATCTTACTTTCTCTGCAATATGGTAGTATATATCCAACTGAACAACCATCTAAGCAGACACCTGTATATTGATCACACAAATTATTAAGACAATGCTCGGAACAAGTTTGACTGCAATTAGCTCCATATGTACCCATTGTACAGTCTAAATCATAAAATAACAAATATTCAATTAACTATTAACCATACCTGTAGAATTATTTGTTACAGACAATCCTAAGTCTGTAAAAATGGGAAGGAAAATGTTTTTTTTTTTTAATTTTACGGGACTCAGTTAGTATTAAAACATGGACTAAATTAGTATTATACCTACAATTTCACTGGACTCAATTGGTATATACCCTAAAACAACCCGGGACTCAATTCGTCATAAAAGGTTATACTGGGACTCAGTTCGTATGCAGCCGTAAATACAGTAGTACCAGTGCCCATATGAAATATTAAATTGATAACCTATACCCCCCCCCCCCCCCGGTAACCAGTAACCATAAATATTAAAATATAGTTTAAGGTTTAAGCATGACTTTAATTATTAAGTAGGTATTGAAAAAAGTGTAAACTCATATTAGATTTTTTTATACAAATAATTAATAATAAATTAGAGGAAGCAATTTATAACCAATATTGTTCATACATGTTATGAGTTTATATTTGAGACCTTCGAGTTTAATCATTCAAAAGTTGTTTTTTTCCTTTGAATCAAATGTAGGTAGGTTAAATACTCACAAACGATAAAAATGAACATGTTTATTCTTTATTCCGATTCCGTTGCAGTTTAGGATAAAGATGTATACTGAGTACTGAGTACAATGTCTGTGGTTACAACTAATGAACTACACAATTTTTAATATTTTTTTAACGCCTTGAATAATAATATTATAATAATATATAACCAACAGCAATTATATTTTTAATTTAATCAACATAAAAAAATTAAAGAAATATGCAAATATTACCAGATATGTGACAGTCATTAAACCAGTGTAAAACTCTAAAGCTAGGTAGGTATATTCTTTAAGAATAATATTATGGGTTTATTTGATTAAGCAAAACACATTATGTCATTCATAAATAATATGTTTGTTTACCATTAAATATTTATTTCAGTCCACGCATTTCATTAATTTTACCTAATTTTTAATGTTTTAACAATTAATCTTACTTTCTCTGCAATATGGTAGTAAATATCCAACTGAACAACCATCTAAGCAGACACCTGTATATTGATCACACAAATTATTAAGACAATGCTCGGAACAAGTTTGACTGCAATTAGCTCCATATGTACCCATTGTACAGTCTAAATCATAAAATAACAAATATTCAATTAACTATTGATGACCAAATTTTTTTTTATACAAAATTATTCCTCAAGTCTGTATATTTTTTACTTACCTTCGTCACATGACAAACCGGTTAGTCCCACTGGGCATGTACACCCATAACTTGTACACATGAGCATACCACGACACATTTTATCAGACTGTATAGAACATACTCCTTTACAGTCGGATCCATAGGAATTTACCCCACAGCCTGAAATTGTTTAATTATTGAATTGCTGTTGAGTCGTATTCAGAAATTTAGACTTTCTAGCTATTTATTTATCCTTTTCAATTTTTACACACCAAAATAATGTTTAAATTGGTTTATACTTACCTACTTATTTAGAGCATAATATATTTTTAAGCTTTCAACATTCCTATTTATTTTTTTACTATAACTACCGCTCAAAAATGAACATGCATAGTTCGGTATATATAATATTATTTAATATGGTACATTTATTTCAAATTGTTAGTAATCTTATAGATAAACGATGTATAAGTGAGAAAACTTCGTATGATTTAATTAGTTATGAAGCTCTTCTTTTAATTATTTAAGTTTTTTAATAATCAACGAATATAATATATTTTATATTACTTCTATAAGTAATCTGGGGGAGATGGTAGATAGAATATAAATGACTTACTATTTTATAGTGGGGCTGAGATATTATTTCCCCCCTTTGTTTGAATCTCAAATTTATTTTTTTCAGTCACTATGGTTGAACTTGAAGAAAGATTTTTAATTTTTTATGTATTTTTTTATTATGTAATTACTTATTTGACATTAAAATATATATTTTATATTATATAATATTTACCTACACTTTAAATTGTGCTAATTGTAATATACGTAGTATCTATTAGAGAACTTATATAAAAAGCTTAGATCATATATAATGGACAGAGCTACGTGTGGTTTGCTTCTTCTTATAGATATTAAACATATGGCATGAAGCAAAAATTAATATCTAAACATAAACACCAAATTGTTCTTCACTAAAACTTAATTTACAAGTTATATTAAATTTTTTATTTCTCTATAAAATAATAATTTACTCATAATATGGGAATTCAAGTTCAGTTTGAATACTTTGAATAAATGTACATAGTAATAGAACATTAATTAACAATTATTGTAATTAATATGACTAATTGTCAATTGAACTTTATAATAAAATTAATAATGTAAATTTATTTTATGATTATTAACCATTATAATGGTCGACAAGTATTACTACCTACTATTAACTCATAATATTTTATGTTGGTATATAATTATAACTTATTGTATTATATATTATTCTAGTTCTTTTTTATTTATCTGATAACGTTATTATTATTGAGAAAGTCAAATTAAATTTTATAAGCATTTAATTTTCAAGTTTTAAAAAAATGTATAAAACTTAAAATTTAATAATTATTTTGTAGTTAAAAATGTATAAAACGTTCAACTTTTATAGCTAAGGATTGAAAATTTAAAACAACAACGTTCCAAGTAAATAGGTTACATATAAATTACTTTATTCACAATTATATCATCAAATGCACTTAGTAATATCATTGGCTTACTGACCGTCTTCGCTCAGATCATTTTGTTATACAATATTTATTATAATAGTATATCATTGAATTCAAATTTAACACCATCCATTACAATGACCCACTTGTAACCTATACTGTACAGGAAAGTGACACCCATTTGCAAACCTCCTTTTTTATAGTTTAATATTGTTCAAATGAATGATCACTTAGAGCCTACAAAATGTATCGTTTACTTTATACTATGTCATATTATCTAACAGTCATATTAAATATCTAGGATTGTTATATAATGTTTACAAGTATACTTATATAGTTTAGCTTTATGCTAAATTATTTGAGGGTAGAAGGGGGTTATCTCCTCAATAGTATATGTTTATATTACACAATTGGTAGAAAAAAATAATTTATTTTGCCCCCTGCCACCATCAAATAAATTTCTCCAAGTTTTCAGCTACATATTTCCCTTTACATTAGACATTCTCAGATTCAAACAATTATTCTAATATTTTAATGAAAGTATTTTAAGGGGATTCGATACCGTGATTTTCTGTTTTTGTCTAACACACGCGCGACATAGTATTTTAGACGTGTTTTTTGCCAAACATACCAATTGATCTAATGAGGCGATAAGAATTCTGAAAACAGATTTGAATTTTTCGTCAAGTCTACTTGAAATCGACTTTCCCACGTTTTTGATATTATCCTCCAAATTTTTTAAAATGTCATATTCAAAAAGAGTAATTAAAAATTCAGGTATTTCAATTTTTAAAGAAGTTAAAATCAAAAAATCAAAAATGTGGGAAAGTCGATTTCAAGTAGACTTGACGACAAATTCAAATCGATTTTCAGAAATCTTATCGCTTCAATAGATCAATTGGAATGTTTGGCAAAAAATACGTCTAAAATAGGTACTATGTCGCGCATGTGTTAGACAAAAACAGAAAATCACGGTATCGAATCCCCTTAATAGGAAATACTAAAGGTTTAAATAAAATTTTCTTCACATATTATATTAATATATAAATTCATTATTTGTGTTTACTGGGTAAAAAAAATGTATACGTAAGTAGTATAGGGGTCACTATGGTACACTTTCATTTTAAATGCAATATTTCCTAAAATATTTTTCATAGAAATTGAAATGCAAAATTCCTTTAATTATTTTGCAAATCGTGAAACGCAATAATTATTAAAATATTTTTCAAATCGTGAAATGCAATATTTCCTAAAATATTTTTCATAGAAATTGAAATGCAAAAATCCTTTAATTATTTTGCAAATCGTGAAACGCAATAATTAAAAAAAAAATTTTTCGCAAAACTTATGAAATGCAATAATTAAAAAATTTTTTCGCAAAACTTATGAAATGCAAAAATACTAAAAATAATTTCCTATGGGGGGGGGGGGACTTCGGCACACGTGACATTTAAATGCAATAATAATTAAAATATTTTTTAATAGAATTGTTCTATCAAAAATAAAAATCGAAATAGTATATTTAATTGCAAAATGTATTAAAAAGAAATTGAAAAATTGAATTTAAAAATTAAAAATATAATAAATAATAAAAATAATGGCAAATATAAATTCTATAAGCATATTAGAAAATATGAAAGTCTCTGAGCTTAAGTCAATAGCAAAAGAGGCTAAACTTAAGGGTTATAGTACCCTTAAAAAAAATGATCTTATATCAAGAATTAGGAGAGGTCATACAATTCGCGATTTAACAACTTCTGAGCTTAAGTCAATAGCTCGAAGTTTTGATATAAAACAAATTTACAAACTTAATAAAGAATGTTTAATAAAAAAAATTAAATTAACAAGAAAGCAACAACCTTTTCGTAAATTTCAAGAAGATATATTCAAGGATGAAGTTTTTAATAGTTCATTAAACAATAACCCATTTCAGAAGTTAGAAAAAACAATTTTCACTGAAGAAAATTATTTTAATAGTTCATTAGAAAAAACATCAGATGTTTATGATTTGATAGATATAATTCAAATGAATAAACAAATCCAAAAGAAATTTAAAATACATGAAGCTGAATATAAAATTCGGTTTAGAGAAGCTTTAATAAAAGATCTAAAACTATGTAATGCAAAATACAAAATTGATTATGTACATAAAGCTCTAGATTCCATGTTAAAACTTGTCCAAAAAAATTCAAGTTATGAAAAAGGTGATCAAATAAATATTATAGTGATGAATCCAAATTTAAAAAATACTATATCTACTGGTATGAAATCTGATAATTTTTTAACAAACTTAAAATCAATTATTGTTAACATATTAACTTCAGCTGAAACAATTGATATAACAGAAACTACTTTTCAAGTTCAATTAGTGAAAATACCAAGAGGTTCAAGGAGAACTAAAATAATTAATTTATCAGAAAATATAAAAACAAAAAGAAGTATTATTGAGATTAATAATGATGATAATTTATGTTGTCCGAGAGCTATTGTTGTTGCATTATCTACTCAGACAAACAATATTTTAGGTCATGAATTAGATCCCAATAAAATTAAACAATTGAAGATAGGTAGAAAAATTCAAAAAGATTTAGCTTTAGAATTATGTAATAGGTTACCAGAATATAACGAAGAAGGATTTACATTGAATGATATTAAGAATGTGGAACTTGCACTAGATATTCAAATAAATGTTATTTGTGCTGAAAATTTAAATACTTCAATTTATAAGGGTGAGGATAAAGAAACTAAAATTTATTTGTATAAAAATGGTAATCATTTTGATGTTATTAAATCAGCTAAAGCCTTCTACGGATCGTGTTATTATTGTAATAAGTGCGATAAACCATATCAAAATAAAGATAAACATAAATGTGATAAAAATAAAAATAAAAATATATGTAAATTGTGTACATATTATGGTGAGAGATTTGAACATTCAATTAGTACAAAAAATAAAATATATTGTGAAAAATGTAATAGATATTGTTATAATCAAGAATGTTTAGATAATCACGAATATGTATGTGCCCATGTATATAAATGTATTGATTGTAATAAAATATTGTTTAGAGATAGTCTACATAAATGTGGTTATAGTGAATGTAGAAATTGCCGACAATATGTGAAAATAAATGAACATCAATGTTATATGCAACCTAGATTAGCAAAAGGAGGTAAATGCTTAGTAGGATGTACAAATTGTGGAGGTACAAATAAACCATTTAAATGTACTTATACAAAAAAATATTTGTTTTTTGATTATGAAGCTCAACAAGAAACAGGAACTCATATCGCGAATAAAATAATTGCTCATGATTTTGAAGGAAATAAAATTATGTTTGATACAAATGAAGAATTTTGTAAACATGTAATATCCGAGGAATATAGGGGTTATACATTTATAGCACATTATGCAAAAGGATACGATTCACAATTTATATTAAAATACTTGGTTGATAACACTCTGAAGCCATTTACAATTTATAATGGTACAAAATTAATGTTATTAGAAATTAAATATTTAAGTATAAGAATAATAGATAGTTCTAATTTTATTCAAGGTCCTCTCAGTAGTTTTCCCAAAACGTTTGGTCTCAAAGAACTGAAAAAAGGTTACTTTCCGCATTTC